TCTCCTGACATAATCTCAGTAGTGGCCCCTTCACTGCACACTATTAGAACGTAATACAAGAAGTGGCATGCACAATTGGACGAACTGTATGCTAGTAGTAACCAATGAAAACTATTCATACTAAAACGAAAATGGCGGCCTAGCCTGACAATGGTGACCCCTGTACACTATTTATACAGTCAGGCAGTGCCAATAAACCGTACAATGGTTATGAAGGCGATAGAAGTCAATAACTAACATGGGTGTGGCTCATGTTTATGTTAACAGTGGCCCCTGCACGCTATTGGGAAAAATTAAAACAGTCATGTTAGGAATGCAATAGAATGAATGAGATAATAAAGTATCGCCAAGGCCAAGGACAGTTACCATTGCAAACCAAATCCTATGCCACACCAGCCTACAGCCGAACTAGTCTGACAAAAACAAGAATTTGTGCAATGTTGATGTCTACGAAAGGCTGGTAAGGCGAATATACCTTTTAAAAGCATCCGATTTCCATCTTCCGAGAACGCGAATTTGGGAATCAGATCAATAACCACATGCAGCTGCATGGGAGGCTGCACCTATCCCAAAACTATGACCTTTTTATTTAGTGGAATCAAGCCCGTAATGTCTTATTACCTTGAGCTTGAGCCAACCACTCATCGAATTCCGTTCGGGTGACGGGGACCCCATTTAGGTGTTGAAATAGGAGCCCTAGCACTGAGCCACGAACTGAAAAAGAGATTTTCCTCAGGGCAAACAACTTGGCGGGAAATAATTATGGAAATTGGGGGCTGGTTATAATGGTGCTTAAATTGATGAAAGGTGAGCTTCACCGAAGCTGTAAAGCCAGACGTATGAAAGAGCTTGGTAACCTGACCAAGCTGTATGACGTCAGGTGCCTACTTAGTGGCAGTTATCTTGCCAATACGCATAAAGGCATAAAAAGAAGTGGTACACATTGCTTTGAACAAACAGGCAATAGACTAACTATCCAGAACAGGTGCACAATTAGTACACATCCGTTCTAAGATGGAAACTGTGATTGGAGTGCGTGTATCAAGCCTTGCACAAACTTTCCCATACCCCTTCAGCAACACCAGCCAGCCGGTGCATGTACCCACTGGGCAAAAACATAATTACATTCACAGTGGATGAGGTATAATTATGATGGTACAAATAAACAATAAAAATGGCGAAATTGGAGGGTGGCAAAGATAAAAGACAGGCAGACCGACCAAAAGCATCTGTCGAGAAAGTATTGTATAACCTTCATGCATGCCTTTAAGTAGGAAAAGAAGATGGCTCTAGGCTGTAAGAATGCATTGATTAAACCCTGAGGGCTAAGGAATGTAGAAAATATCGCAAAATTGTTCGAGAATCTGCCCAAACGCTGGGGGCAAACCTTGTGGGGGTGTGAGGGGGATTGTATGTTAAAGGAACGAAGATGTACTTATCTGAAATTTGAATTAAACCCCGCTGGGTGTCGGGCCAGCTTTGTTAGACCCTGCAAAAACGCCAGTCTGTATCAGACAGACATATTACAGTTGTTATAGCTTAACTGCAAGATAAATAGACGTTGCAATTGAAAGCTCTCCGATATCCGGAAGGGCGATTAAATTAAACCACAGCACAGCATGACTGTGTTCTTTATTACTTCACGCGCAAGGCTAAACTGAAGATGCCTTGAGGAGTTTAAACATCCTAAATGACACTTGAATCCGCCTTCTGTATATGGGAATCCTGCGGTGGAGGGGGGTAATCTGCAAGAATCTAAATCCCATCCAGGGGGATTAACAATACTCCTGAACCAGCTTTACTATACTCTACAGAAACCTTAATTAAACACCAGCTTCTTAAATCACCGGCTAGAGCTGTTAAAGACCTTTCTGAGGTCGTTACGGAACTTAAAACTGTATGTTGCTCTCGACGTAAATCATTTAAGCTATGCAATGTAACTTTCAACAATCGTGATATAATCTGCTCTCAAAATTATGCAGTGTCATTTCAGTATTTTCATATTAAAAGTTAGGTCAAGAGTCATTAATAAAATGAAACACAAAACAAGTCGTGGATTGAACTCCAAATAACGGAATGACATACTGAAAATACTAATATAACTTTGAGTAATTACGATTTAGTAGTGTCTTAAAACATTGCAGTGTCATGTCTTACGTCACTTTTTGCTATGACTCCCTGGGGGAATGGGCCATAACCCCCTGGGGATAAAAAGCACTGTCCTGAACTTTCCTAATATTGTCATGCAATAATTTGTCTAAGTTGGTTTTTCCGCTGAATTTTGACTCAAGAATTTTCGTTACAACAAGATGAAACTGTACTTGGAAAGTTTTTTTTCTTTACAATGTGCAGTTACGAATTCTTCGTGAAAAAGTCTCGAACACAGTATTTTCAATCCTCCTGTCTTATAAGGTCAAATTATACATTCCACCATGTCCAACGCTCCATATAAACTCAGGAATTACTTCCTGGAGGTATTGTTAACGACCATTTACGTGCGAGGACATGAAGTACTTGCTTGATTTAGTTCTTTATACTTGAGAAATATCTTAAAGTGGAAAGCTCTCAAGCCAATATTTTATAATGCCCCACATTATCCTAAAGTCAACTGAGCTACAAATTAATATTGAATCATGTCTCATGTGAGATATTCTAATAAAAATCAGAAGACATTGCATCATTTTCAAATTATTTATAAAAATATAAGCCTCGGGAGCAAAACCTACACGTCAGCGGTGAAACGAGAATTTATTTTCCGCAATCTTAAATATGTAAGACCGTCTTCGGCGTTTTCTAGTCATTTGTTCCGGCTACGTTGCTAACAGCGCACAAGATCCAAAAATTGTACTTTTGCTAAGAATTCGATGTCTTCATTCCTTAAGCTTCGAAAAATGTGGACCGCCAAATTCTTCGCTGTTACGTTAGTAATAACGGTTTTTATTCGGGACGCCGAATCTTGGAAGCCGCGTAGAAGAGGAGGCTCTCTACTGCCTTGCAGTCCGCGTGTTTGTCAAGTCAGCTCTTGGTCAGCATGGAGTCCCTGCACCCATCTATGTGGGACAACTGGAACACAAACGAGGGCAAGAACAGTCGCCGTCACTGCGACCTGTGGAGGATCATGTCCACATTTGTCAGAGATTCGCTCGTGCAACAGAGACAACTGTCAGAATTCAGGAACTCCCTCAAGAAACGGTTGCTCTTGTCCTCCGGGATATGTTGGAACGTGTTGTGAAATTGGTAAGTTGAAAAAAAAAAAATCCGCAAGCAAAACACACACAAAATCTCTTCACACATGTACACAGGTGTCTGTATTACGGTGTCTGCAAGGGGAGGTTCAAATGTATTGTTGTTGGCTTGTGTCTATGCCACGTTTTACTGCTGAATTTCAACTCTAGATTTTCCTGTTTCACAAACGCCGTTTTGTATATAAGCTTATATTCCAAAGCCGTCTTGGCACGAAAGGAATTTTTGGTTTCTGTATAATTAACATAATTAAAAACTGGACATTAGATAATCCATTTCAAGAGTTTTCATTGACTTAGCCTTCGTGGTATATGAACCATTATACCGAATTGCAGTGTAGACAAACATAAAGATATGAAACACAAAGCAAATTCTATGTAGCCTAAATGAGCCCTACAAGTCTTCGAAAATACTGCAACGAAAGACCACAAATTTAGAAGGGCTTACTTATTTACAAAATTATATAACCGGAAGAAATTGTGTAATTTTCACCAAGGAATTTTCCATTTAAATATATATAAGCTTAAATTTATATTTGGCATAGTGAGACTATGCACATGGCAAATCAACGTTGAAACGATATCAAAACGCACCCCATGGGTATAAAAGGGAAATCCATCACTCTTTAGAAAATCTTCAGAAATCTTCGAAAAAGGATCACAAGTCATCGGAATAATTATGTTAAACTATCATCATCTAAAGTAACTTCTTATGCTGTATTTCTTGTTTGTTTTTTTTGTTGTTGTTTTGTTTTGTTTT